TAAATTGATCTCAAGTATTCACTAGATTGGATTAAACCTGATCCATATGTAATGAACTCATATTGGACTGGATCGGCCAATTGACACCCCTACTTGGATCCATGCCATCACACAAGGCATTAATTCAAAAACCCTTAACTGTTTTTAGTGCTTGAAGTTGCTGGTTAATGCTTGATTTAGGTTCTTTCTGCTGGAGAAATATTGATGGAGTAGGTATGGATAGGAACGGGATGACATATAAATAAAAACTTCATAGGAGGGGCTATAGAATAATAGAAATAATCAGGAACACTTTATGTGTACAGAACAAAGGTGTGTTCTCTAATCTCTCTTGTTTCGTTCCGTAGCCCATTGTACACGCCTCCATTTGTAGGCTTGTAGCTCATCCAGATTTTTTTTTAACGAGAATGGTCATTCTCAATAAACTCCATATAATTTAGTTACATGTGGTCATGTGTATATGCAGTTATGCATTCATTTGTTAATAAAACCCTTTTTTTTTCTCTTTTGGTAAACAAAGGAAGACTTCATTAATCAAAGAACAAGGAATTTTAGTTCAATGGAAAGGTATGGTACCGAAAGTGTACAAAATTAAAACTTTAACCAATTGGAAACTCATGAATTTGAATGAATACAAATATACAATGTATAGAGAATTTTAGCCTACGATCAAATGGGCCTCAGCTAAAAGATCTTTCTAAGCAGATATGTCTAATTGAATTATTTGATAATTTTGAGTGTGCTGATTTTTGGTATAATGCAACCTATCTGATAATCTAATGATGGATTTCATTTTCTTAACTTAGACACACATAGCAATTCATGTAGGAAGTAACCTTGTTGCTGTCATGATGAGGGCTCTCGTTGTAACGTGCTTCTAATTATAGTAGCGTCATATTATATTTTTAAACAGATTTCATCTATGGTTTCCAATTTTATCTCTTAACAAGGATTCCTACTTTTTCCTTCTTTTCTTTGCATTTTCTTTCAAATCAAACACAGTCTTAAATTTCTTCATTGATAAACTTAGAGACCATAATAAATATAATAAATATGGATGGTCATAGGAATCTATGTTATTTGGTTTAATCGTTAAAATTTATTCTATGATAAATGAAATACGGAAAATATAATATCAATAATACAAATTTTCCTTTGATTTTTTAATTAATTATTTGCTTATGGAGTGGTCAATCTTCAAAAGTACTGGTTTGGTCAAAGAAAATGCATGGGTCTTAATTAAGGGTGATCATTCCTAGCCTAACTTAGCCCAACCTAAGTTTAAGCCCCTTAACTATGTATCTATGTATGTATACCTCTAAAAAAATGTGCATGTATACATTAGGATAAGCCCATTATCCTAAATGTTGAGCCCTGCCTGGGTTGGTTTTAGTCATGATTACCCTTAGTCTTAAAACTCTTAGGCCCTGTTCGTTTTTCGGTAAATTACTTATCCAGGTAAATGCAGTTACCTGGGTAAGTTTTTCTTGGAAAACACTTATCCGGGTAAGTGCATTTATCCATGTTCTTTTATTTCTCATGGAAATAAGGTAATGACCATTTTGTCTATAAAAATTCATTATTAAAATGGGCATTTTTGTCTAATTCAAGTGTTGGCAACTTTCCCCATAGGTGGAAAAATTATTTACCCACTTAGGAGATGTGGTACCCAGGAAAATAAAATTTTCCTAGTCCCCACATAAATCTGAAAAAAGAACATGAGATTCTTGGTCAATGAGAACCAAAATCCCATTGACCAACTTTCCCCCTTCTCAAAATCTGAAAAAAAAGCGCCCCCTTAATTGGATCCAATTATTCCTACAGAGATATGATTTTTATTTTTTAGCATATGAACAGAATAAAGATCTCTATGTTAGAGAATAAAAATCTATTCAAAGACCTCACCTAATAAAGATTGTTTGACCAAGTGATTTAGTGTTTGACCATCACCCATCATAATCAATTAAATTTCAGCACTGGTATATACTTATCTACGCATGAAGGGGCATGTTAAAGATTTTATTCAACAATCTCTGCTAACAGTTTAAACCTTTAGGGTAAAAGGGTTTTTGGAGTTATTTACTGCCCCACGTGATTTCACATGGTGTACTGCCCCTATCTTGAATTTAATAATTTTTGAACGATGTTACCATGTTTGGGAGACCCTATGTTACATGTCAGGGTGGGTCCGGTCGAGCTGGGGCCAACTGGGCCCAAGTCTAGGAGCTTGAAGAATCAATCCCCAATACCTTGTTATTACAAGGGCAGAATACAAATTCATTAGGCCTGGTCTGACTCCCAAGTCCAAAATCCAAACCAAGTTGCAGCCTTTATTATTAGCAAATGCAAGGACAGGCATAAAAGGCCCATATAATAATGGTAAGAGGAAGTGGAACAGAGTGTATTGGTGATTGATCAGATATTCCAAACTGATGATAGAGTCTTCAAGAAAGGAACAAGCAAATCGCCATGGAACATCATATGGAGAGGCTATGGCTGTGAATGGATCGAATATAGGTAGATTTAAATTTATTTTTTTATTTTTATATTCGAATTCAAGTCACATTTATTCCGGATTTAAATAAAATTCAGGTTACAAGCGAATATTGAGAAGAATATATGAGCATGTATATTTAAATAGGAGAGGCTTCAGTGTTCACAAGACCCACTGTTGGTACAGCCCTTTTGCAGCCCTTCATTGGGAATATCTCTGTAATTGTATGCTTTTTTTCATGGGGAGATATTTCCGATGCAATACTGCAATAGACCGTGCCAATAGTGTGAGCATGGTCTTGTGAGGACCAAATCTGATTTCTTTAACCAGAATTGAACTAGATATGGATAAATATAAGATAGAGTTTAATTATAAATAAATCAAATTCAGATTATCCTTCCCAACCCAACTCCCCTCCCCTTCCTACTACTCCCATTAAGCCATGTCACCATTCCCAACCTAACTGTCTAAAAATATTCACAGAATCTCTCTCCTAAAGTATCTCCTCTAAGCCATTAGGAAGTACATGTTACTCCACTCCCCAATCAATTCCTAAAATATTTCTCCCAAAATTTTCATATTAATAATAAATAGTTAAATATGGTTAATATTTAATCCAACTCGTATTCAATGAGTATTAAATAACGTTATTACCAAAAGTTAATATATATGGTTAGTAAATTACCAAAAATTGAATTTCTAATTAGTATAGTTAGTTAATTACCAAAACTTAACAAATATTGTTATTAATTAACTCATCATGACTTTTTAAAGTATTTTGGGCAAATACTATTATATTCATGTTAATTAACAACATCTTATAGAAATTGAAGACTCTTTAACTAATTTCTATATAATTGAGAATTATATTTAATAATTATCAAAAAGTATAAAATTTTAGTTATTGCTATTACTATAGTTAATAATCGAATGCAGATGGGGGAATAAAATATTATAGTGTTGGAAAATGAAATTATTAAATAATTTATATTGGAAAATAAAAGATAAATTAGTGTAATTTTGCTAGTAAACTACCTAATAAAAATAAACATTTAATAACAATTTAAAATAATTTTCAATAGATTTCCATAATTACACAAATGTAATAAAAATTTCAAAAATTTTCATAAAATAGCATCTTGGAAATTAAAAGATATATTTTTTTTGAAAGTTTATTTAAAATGTATTAAACAATTATTGGAATATTTTGAAAATTTTAGGAAAATTTATTACATTTAATAGATTTTGGAAAACTATGAAAAAATATGTAAATTTCATTGTAAATTATTAAAGATAAATGAGTATGGGAAAGGGAAAGTTGTAATTTGAACCAATAATTACACAATTTATTAAGATAACTAGTATAATATTGGGAAAAGGAAGTTATTGATTAGCTTATATTAGAAAATATAAGATAAATTAGTGTAAATCTATAAGTAAACTATTTAAAAAATACAAATGTAATAATTTTCCAAAATTTTCATAAAATTACATTTTTGAAAATTAAAGACAATTTAGTATATCAAAATTTACCATGTAGCTGATACTCAATATATCATTTTTGATCATTTTTGTCATAAAAAATGAATATTGGGTTGACAGGGAGTGGGTGTCTTGCCTTGAACTTGCTTGACACTAGGGATGGGGCGGGGAAAATTCAAGGGTTCCCCATGCTTGATGTGGATTGGGTGCCTTGCCCTGAAATCACCCAACACTGAGGATGAGACGGGGAAATTCGAGGATTTCTTGTCCCCAATGGGGAGTGAGTGACTTGTCTTGAACTTGCCTAACACTAGGGATAGGGCAGAGATGGGGTGGAGTGTCTTGACTACGGGGTGGGGATAGGGATGTGGTACCCTGCCTCGTTGCAATTCATATATAATTGTTAATTATTAGTGAAATTAATAAAAATGTTAGATTTTATAATTATTTTTATTTATTTAAAGTCAATCGAAATTTCATTTAAAAATAATGAAAATAATAACAATTATTAAAATTACTACAAATGATTAATAAAATTAAATTTATTAAAAATATTTGTTCATATTAAATTAACAATAATTATTTTCTATAAATCAATGTTAAACGAAAATACAATTATTAAAATTTTAAATATTAACAATAACTTGGAATACTTTAATTAATTAACAATAAATTTTGATTATTAATTTATCAATTAATTAATAATAAATAAAATTATTCAATGTTTCAGATTTTTCCATCATCACATGGGTCTCTGCTAGTATATATATATATATATATATATATATATATAGTTGGGGACGAGCTACACCTAAACTTGTGTGGGTTAGTTTTGCTATTAAGTAACAAAGAGAAAACCTTTATGTTGACATTCCCGTATGATATGAATTGAAGTGTTCAAAAACGAATTCCATTCTTTGAAGTAAGGTTGGCATTTCCATTTTCAGCCCAAACGCAACAATAATCAAGACAATTTTCACCCAAACATAAGCTGTTCTTCTCTGTTTTATCCATTTCTCAAAACTTAAAAAGACAGAATCAAGTACTATCACCCAAAAAAAAAAATGTATTAGCTAAAATGGAAAATATTTGAAGCAAATGGGCACCTTTCGTTGTGGGCTGGTTTCTCGGACCAGTTTACTTTTTCTAATCCATAAACATTTTGTGGGCACAACGCACAAAGTCGATCGCCGGTTCAAAACAGCATAGGGGTTACATTCTGTGATGGTTGATGCTTTCTGGGTATCGGCATCATCGGCTCAACGCTCGCGAGTCGGCCCTCTTCAGGCTTCAGCTTCCTCACACGATGGGTTCTCTCTTGCTCTGCTAATATGCTCCTTCCTTACACCTTTAGAGCTTCTCATGCTCATGCAATTGCATTCGAAGTTCCAACTTAACTGCAGGGTATATATTGGTAGTTTTTGTTGGGTGCATTGTTCCTCACCATTTTTGATACTTTTTGATGCAGTTGCTTCTTTCGTGTTTGTGTTTGTTGGAGTTAAAGTAAATGTTTTCTTAGCTTGAAATTGTGTTGGTCTTATAGTCCAATTATTGATTTTTTTTTCCTTCTTATGCATGTACTAGCATCAGTTCTCAACAAGATGAGCTTTAATCTATAGTTTTTTCCCAGTTGGTCCAAATCATCCATTCATTTTATCACCTATGAATATGGGCTCAAAGTAATTTTGAATTTCCATTATTTTCTCTTACGGGTCTGTGTTGGTACATGTACATCAAGAAAAGCAAAAACAAGGGATATCCTCGGCTACATCTATGCATTGAGGAAGAAGCCATTTGCAGCATATAACGAATAATAAGTAATTGATTCCTGAAATGATTGAAGTTGAACCTCTTAGAATCATCCAGATATTCGTTTATAACTTTTCAGCATACAGTTAAGAACAATAAAGTAAAAGATAAATGCCTAAAAACACAGTTGTGGTATATCTATAGGTCCAGTATATGGAGAAGGGTGAAGTATTCCATAATATGTGCTTCCCTTTGCAAGGAACCCTGGATTTGCCACAAGGATACAAAATTCAGGAATTATTTAGGGATGCTCCATTGCTGCTTATGGGACAAAGAATGAGACTGCACCTTATATCAGAATCGGAAATGCAACTATGCTACGAATTGCTTTTGTTGAAATGCAATTGAATTTCCTCATGGCAGAGGTAGATGGAAATCTCTATGATATCACTGGAGGGAGATTGGACTGAAATGTTTTGTGTTTGACACTGACCAATTGGGGTGCATTTTTTTATTCTGGTTCCCACATTCTTGGAGAGGTTGATTAGGAATTACATTGCCCTGCTTGGTGTCTGGTATAAATGCCACATCTGTTAGAAATTACATTCTTGGATAAATTAAATGCCACATCTGCTGAATAATTTCATAGCTTCCAATTCCACATGTTTTGGAAGTTAGTTTCATAGCTTTATTTATCATGACTTGTGATTCATGGCTTAATTGATGTGAATCTTTTAGTGGCAGCCTCTTGAGATGGAGTAACACGTTCTGCTTGGGCCTTGTACCACTAGAGGAAAGGTAAATGACATAGCATAGTTACTCCTTAACTGTTTTAACATGTGGAGCTGTGGACAACAATTTTATTTCCTCTGTTTTTTTTTCAATTTTTTTTTTTTTTTTTTTTTTTTGGGGGGGGGGGGTGGTATCAGTTGGTACTGCCTTATCTTTGTTTAATTCCATCTTACTGATTCTGTCCCAGGAATTTGATCTGCATTAATGAAGTAAGATTGGTGTTTATTTGACAAATATTTCACCTACCTTATGAAGCCAATGTGACATGTAAGTTTCAGCTGTAATATATGCACACATACACATGCATACATTCATGCACATAACTTTTTATTTGATATGTACTGCCTACACTCACACAAGAGCTTCCAACTATAACTTTTTATTTGATATATACTGCATTACCGCTACATTGCATTGATCTGGTCTATCAACAATAGCAAATTGATGAACAGCTTCAGAAAGAACCATGTACAGATTCTAAACAGGAACCCCATCCAACTTTGTGATATTTATCATCATTTCTCTTTTCTAAGGAAAACATTGAAATACATGATAGTTGGTCCATTTGTATATCATGGTCCACATGGGATTACAATATCCATACATAGTAGGTCCCACAAAAAGAAGTGGCCCATGTATAATGAAGTAAAAGAGGGAAGAAGAGAGCGAGGTCATCTAGACTCCTTTTTTTCTTTTGCTAAGAAAATTTATTAAGAGAGAAGATACTGGTGTTTTTGCTAATATGAAAAGAGGAAAGAAGTCTATCAATGCCTTAAAACAAAGGAATGCCAGGAAAAAAAATACACTATGGTTCTTAATACATTTGTTGATAAGGAAGTGGAGATTGGCAGGCTTTTGGGTTTTTCTTTTGTGGGCAGAGAAGCTTTTGTCAGAAGAGCCTTTGAAGAGTTCGAGAAGAGAAGGAAAGAAGAGAATTTGGAGAAAAAACCATTAGGGGAAGGGGGAGAGGCTTGGAGTGAGAAAGGACAGGAAGAAGATTTTGAGGGGGAGGATTAACTGCAGCTTTAAGGGGGTTTGTGGGGGATTTGGAGTTGATATAGGAGAAAGGTGATTTTGCTTTTCAAATTGTTCAGAGTTTGGGGAGAATGTTGGGAGCTTGGACCCTTGGTTGAGTTTCAAATATGTGTTTTCTTTTGACTAGTCTTGTAGTTTGGTGTTGGAGGTGTTGCCTTGGCACCTCTTGTGGATGTATTCAACTCTTCTTTTATTTTTAATAAAGCCTTTCCTTTTATTATCAAAAAAAGAAAAAAGAAAACATAAGGCGACTGATCTGGCAAGGAGACCCAGAAAACAACTTTCTTCCCGAGATTGCTTCTAACAAGTGAATCTGTGATCTAGTTAGCAAACCTAGCAACCTTGATGAACAATATGTTCAGACTAGAGGCTAACAATCATCTAGACCAAGATAAAAATCTTTAAGTAGCAGTTCATATTTGGATTGATCTGGACTACTTATCTGTCCATGACTTCTAGTTTGAAGAGGGCAATGCAATTTATTGCTGTAAAACTATATCAGCACATTTAGACCAGATTCTGGGTACAAAGAGAATTTTAGTTACAGTGACCAAAAAATGCAAAGATTATTAAGCAAGAATTATTATTAAATTGTTCTTGAGCAAGAAATATTATTATCTTGAGGATTATATGGGCAGATTTAGATGAAAATGTGAAAGGAAGTAGTTAGTAAACCATGACCTTGTTGATAGATTGGTATCTGAAATTTAGAGAGGAGCAATAAGGATTTGGTGGTGCAATTTTTCTTCTTATTATTATCCAACTTCCAAGTAAAAATTTTTGGGAAAGGCTTACTCCTGTTACATGTTCCATCTGAATCCTGAAGTGGTTACTTGGCGGTTCTGAAAGCTGAAGTTCCTTTAAAATCTTCCTATCTTTCTTCTACCCTTACATATGGGACTGTATGCCCCTTAAGATGGAATAGCTTTCTGTATTTTATGCAAGGGATTTGTTCACTGTTTGGATTCCAGTTAATCAGTTGTTTGCTGTAATTTCATTGGTACTTCCTCAATTTTTATGAAAACCAATTGGGGTTATGCTCATATACTTTAGTAAACCCAGTGGATGGCCAACAAATTCCTGGGATCTGTGGAAATACTATGTCAAGCAGATTTTCTTTGACTACACTAAAGTTGGATGAAGTCAAATAGCATGGTTATGGAATCTCTGTCATTTGCATCGCTTGTGTAGAATCGGTTTTTTGTTTGAGTCAATTATGTGACCTTTATTAGTTGCCTCATTACTATCTATTTGACTTTTGATATTTACCTATATGTCTATTTTGTTTCCCTTTTGAACACATTATCTGGTTAAATACTAATTATATATACCTTCTTAAACTCAACTTTATTACAGCCATTTGGATTTAATATTGAAATGTTAGTTCTATCAAGTGCAGCACTCTGAGATGATTTCTCTAAGGTCCAGTTTCCTTGATCCCAAAATTCTTTGAAATCTTAGCCATTATGGGAAACAGGGATATGACTCTCCATTTTCTAAAATTCTAGACAAAGATACAGGTACAGTTATCCCATGTAATGTGCTTATATCATGTGTTTATATCTAGCTTTTGAAGCAAAATGTCATTTCTCAAGACTATGGCTTTCCAAATTTAATTAAATTTCTGACATGTGCTCATATTTTTATAGCATAATTTGTTAATATACTACTTTACATATTTTAACGGTGGTAATGCTATTGAGTACTTCAAAAATATCCATGCAATATCCAGTATTGTATCTGATAAGTATCTGGTACACTAGGCATGTACAGGTATTAGGGTATCATAGAATCTTTAGTGTTTTTTCTGAGATTCCTGGTCTTGCTTCACCCAAATTTAGATATTAGTTGGATAATGGGTGCAGAATTTTGGTTTTTTCAAAGTCATTAATTTTTTTTTTGTTTTTTTCTTAGTATTGACATGATAAAAAAACCATGGTAATCTCAATGTTATTTCCTTTATGTTCTCATAGGTTAGAATCAGATGCATCAAACTTGTTATTATGCTGATGTTGATACATTGGATAAAAAAATTCAAAAATAGGTACAAATTTTGAATTGCTTACTAACACCCAAAGAAAAAGGGAAATAAAAGAAAGAAGAGAAAATTCTATGCATGCACTTGTCATTACATATTATGATAAAAGCTTTAAGCTCCTGTATTAATGTAACTTGAAATGTTGACAACATGATAAATTCCTACTTACATGTGTCAGATTGTTCAGACTGTGATAAGTTTTGAATTGTGTGTTTTCTTCTCTGTATTTTAAATGTAAGTATTATGTATGGTTTTTATGCATAAAATCCATGTTAAAGAGCCTTGGTTTGGGTATATGCATAGAAATCCAATCTTTCTCAACAACTCATTAGAGCGTTGTTCCATTAGAGGGCACAACAAGAATTCTGTTTCACCACTCCACTCTAATAATAATGTCATATTTTCATAACTGTAAGAACCAGATCTGTTTATCCAAAATCCTTTTCATAATAAATTAAAGAGAATATAATTAAAATATAAAAAATATTATATCATAAAGTAAAAGTTTATAAGGATCAGGTCAGAAAATCAAATAGATGGAAGATAATTGAGGTTGTTAGTTTGGAAGTGTGATCAATTGTCATTTCTCTTGGTATTCTTGTTGTTTCCTCTTTAATTGTAATTTGTAATTAAGATGTGTTGTTTGTGGGGTTAAGGTTTGCTATATAAGAGCACCAAGGATTTTTTTAAGCATTTTTCTCAATACTCCTTTATGTTCTATCTTTTAAGATATTTTTTTTTGTAAAAACTATAGTAAGAATGTTGATATCACTCAAAGTAGAAACTTAAGAAGATGAAAAGCACACACATCTTCAAAATTTGGATGGGCCATCACCCAATGCAAAATAAGATTTCCAATATCAGCATATGCCTTTTGCTCCCATGCTTTTTATCAAAATTCTTCTCTCTCTCTCTCTAAATTCCCAACACACTGAAGAGTGCCCCGAAAAAGTGTTACCTTCTTATTACCTAAAAAAATGGCCAAGCAAAGAATAAATACCTCCTGGGGATGAATAGGCCTGAAAACTGGTTTTCTAAACAGAGAAAAGAATTAGTTAAAAATAAATTCAGCAATTTTGCAAGATATCAATATATGTACAACATCTTTTCTATTATTGCACATAAAACAAAAAATTGTTCCTCAACCGTTTACTTTTTAAATGATAAATGGTTCGACCAAAAATCTTGGGTTGCATGGACTCACTAAGATGGGTCAACCAACTGGGTATGGATATGGGTACATAGGCACACTGCACATTGGACATAAAGTCTTTAATTTCCGGTTAGGCAAGCATGCTATATTTAAAACTATGCTAAGTAGAAACTTCAAAATCCTTCTATAATGTGTTGACTTCTGGGACAACTAACTCCCCTTCCCCTCATAGGAAGATTTGGCTTTCTGCTGTCCCCCCCTAGAATTTGCTTCTTTGTTTGGGAGGCTTCTTGTGGCAGCATTGATACTTGTGATATGATTTTAAGAAAGAGAAAAGGACACCTTTATGTGGCTCCTCATATCTGTTGTATATGTGTATGAAAGATGGGGAGTCTTGTGGCCACCTTCTGATTAATTGTGGAAGTAGCCAGAAGCCTGTGGCAATTCTTTTTGGACACCTTCTACAGAGGCAGATTTCACTGGACCCCTCCTAACTCAGTGTCTGACCTTCTTTTACAATGGCCTGGATGTACGTCAAATAAAAGAGGTGCTCTCTACGGAAAGGCGATCATGCATGCAGTTTTCCGGTGCATTTGGGAGGAGTGCAACAAAAGAATTTTTTACGATAAAATACTCTTCCCTGGATGAGTTAAAAGGAAGGGTGCTTTTTCGCATTAACTCCTGGATGAAGGTTTCTAGTATGTCCAGGGGCATTTCTATGGGAGACGTAGAAAGAAATTTGGGGCTGGTTCTGAGTTCCTCAAGTTTAGATAGAGCTCACACAGTTCCTGTGACCCCGAAACCCCCTACAGATTTTGTTCTCCAGTTTGATGGTAGTTGCTTGAGTAGACTTAACCACAGAGGTCAGGCAGGAATAGGTGGCAGAATTCTCATTTCATTAGGCACTCAATTTTGGGCCTATAGTGGACCCATTGAAGAGGCTGAAGCTGTTGAAGCTGAGGTGCAGGCCTTGCTGATGGGGCTGAGGTGCGTAAAATCCCTGAATATTTCTTCAGTGGTGGTGGAAGGAGATTCAAAGGTGGTAATAAGCTGGATGTTAAATCAGCAGGAGGGACCTTGGAGATTCTCTCATCAAATCAATGAAATCAGGGTTATCCAATTGCAGCTTCACTGTGTCTTCAGGTGGATTCCAAGGAATTTGAACTCAATAGCAGATGCTCTTGCTAAATCTGGGGTGGGCAGGGATTTTTGGTACAGCAATATAGAGCTTCCTTTTTAATGAGTAGGGAAGGCTTTTTGGTTTTTGTTTAGTTCCTGATTGATGTATCTCTTATATATCCTGTATATCCCTCCCCTTTCTTTTAATGAAAGTTACCTTTTCTCAAAAAAAAAAGGCATTGTACCTCTGCCTAACATATATTTAATCTGTGTTTTACGCTATTAATATCCAATATAAGAAGCATCAGCAATAAAAGAGGAGCAACAAAAAAGCTAGTACTCAAAAGTAATAATTATGCACAAGAAATCTATAGTGTCAGGTTAAAGAGACACCTGATCACACATTGGATGTATTCAAGTTTCAATTTATAAAACAGAAATGCTAATCGTACACACCCATGGAGCGTTTAGCCCTTACAACACCTTCTAAATAAGATGTTGTCTTCTCTAGTTCAACAATACCAAGGACTCCCTCACCCCCCCTTTCCAGGCATGACAGGTGTCTTATGTAGGGGGTGTTGTAAGTGCTACACAATCATAAAGCGTGTGATATTAGTATTCCACTTTCTAAAATGCAGCAGATTCTAACATTGTAAGTATTTGTATTTGGTGAGTATCAAAATGAAGGAGCCAGTACCTGTGTCTCAGTGTCTAATACTGAACAGAATCTGATACATCATCTTGAGAAAAACTGAATTGCAGATATGGTTGATTGCATACATTGGAAATATCAGAAATTTTTATAACATAACTTAAGAATGCAAATAGGATCAGATTATTTATGTGCAAAAAAATTATATGCATGGTATAAAAGTCAGTTGAAAATCAACTAACATATAGAAAAAAAATAAGTTTTTTTTGTCTATTATGTCAACCTACGAAAACCTGAATTGCAGTTACAGTTACAGTTATTTCAACCTAAGAAAACCTGAACTGCAAAATTTGAGATTAAGGAGATGGGGTGAGAATCCAGAAACAATATCCAGACCTATGGGACTTCTATTGGAAGGGTATTGAAAAGGTTTATCCAGCGTCTAATAGGGGAATTTAGTATAAGGTTTGTAAAGGGGATAGAATTGGATTTTGGATTGACAGGTAGTGCAGCCTGTGACCTAGTGTTCTAATTGCAGAAGAAACTTAAATGATTGGAAAATGGAGCAGATGGTGGAGCTCTTAAAAGAATTCAGAGCATTTCACCAGAAGTGGGACACCTGGATTCGAGTAGATGGTGGTGGGAGAAAAGTGGGGCTTTCATTGTAAAGTCATTCTACAATAATCTCTTTCAAGAGGTAAACTATGAGTTTCCAGCAAATAGAATTTGTTCTTCTGGTGCTACTTCAAAGATCAAGTTTATTGTCTGGACTGCAGTACTAGGAAAATGCTTATCTCATGACAAACTCTTAAGCAGGGGAATGATGTGGATTAGGTGGGATGTGTATTTTGCACAAAGATGCTGGAATCTGCAAATGACATTTTTTTCATTGCCCACATGCAACAGAAGTGTGGAGGACTGTTCTGAATACTTTCGGGTGGAATGGGTGCTTCCCTCAGTCCATTCAAGGTTTTCTTTTGGGTTGGCAGATCCATGGTTTGAGCAAAAGGGGAGGGTGATATGGGGGTTGATTACATTGGCAGTGTTTTGGTGCATATGGAAGGATAGAAATGCTGTGACATTTGAAAAATCCAGCAAGTATTCCTTCAGATTTGATAGGGAGTATCAAAAGGAAGCTTTGGTGTGCAGCGAATAAGAAGTTTAGAGGCCTGGCTTATAATCAGTTTTTTGACAGTCTTATGCAGATCTGACAAGGATGTTTTGATCAAAAGATATCTTGCTAACAGAATTGTAAAGGTTGATGTACAGAATGAAAATACATGGCATACATGTATAGAAGGATTGTAAAAGTTTAACTTTCTTTTTGGTTATTAATACAATACATTACTTTTTTCAAAAAAAAAAAAGAACAAAGGATATTCAGAAAATTAAATATTTGTATAGATTAAAGCATCAGGATGTGTCTGGCATGCAAGTATGGAATGGTACATAGACAGAGTTCAAGAAATGTTGCTCCTTACATAGATAACAACTAGATATTTTGAAATATTTCAGTCTTCAGTGGCATTTGATGGACTAGTGAAACAGCCAAAAGTTTCCAGATGCAAACTGCAGTATTCAATCAAATAATCTAATCTAATAAGTTATCCAGCTTTAACAATTCTTTGAAGTGGAGGTTTCAAATTAAATTATTTTTTCCAGATTGTTTTGATTTTTGTGCTCTGTATGTATGATGATGGATTTATAGGTTATACTATCTGATACAGCATTGAGTGATTAGTTAAGGGCTTTCCCACCCTTAAAAATATGAAATAGAGAGGTATTAAATGACATTTTTTTTTATATCTTTGAGATGCTACTTAAGTGTTAAAATGTAGAAGCTTAACTAAAACATAGGAGGTGATCCAAAATCTCTCATTGAGAACTATTCTGTGTGTTGGAAATACAAGTTCATGATTCTGTTTGAATAACCATTGCTTTGTGGAAGGGTATATAGATGTAAGAGTGTCTTTGGCATTCTCATTGAGAGAGACAAGACAACATATGTATTTAGTGATGGGTCATGGCATGTCATTACTGAACTTTAATTTTTATGTGAAAAGGTCAGTTGCTGCAAGAAAGGGTTGTTGCCCAACATGCTGAGAACAAGGGTACCTCACTACTGAGATTTCTGTAGTTCTTATTATATGGGTTCTGACCCTTAACCTTATAATCTTCAATTTTATTGTCAAAACAAAATGGTTTGGGCATGATTGGGCATTATGTGCCATTAATAGCTCTTTAATTCAGGATATAACCTAGCATCAGATCATCTTTGACCACAACCATTAATGGCAGTACTATAGGGGCTGGAAATTGAACTGCTCGTATAAATCACTCCATTATCTTTTATCATTCTTTATGGAGTGTCTTCACATGTTTTTTCTTATAGTTGTTTTTTCAGTTGCAGTTCTGCCATTGGTACCAGTGGAGAACCTTGTGCTATCTTGCCAAATTAACTTTATGATTGATTTACGAATCTTTCATATCTGCATTGGTCCTGCAACTCATTCAGTTGTCCTCTCTGGTACAAAGAAGCTCAGTTGGTGCAGTGCAACTATACCGGGTGTTAGCGAGCTGGAACAAAATGCTGTACAAGTTCATCTCACATTCTCTCAGCCATTCAGAAATGTTAGTTTATTAGATCATGATTGGCTATATCTATGGTTTGATCTGTTGGTTATTAGTCAGACATTATTGATATTTTAAGAGTGTCACCGACAAGATGATTATAAGAGTTACCTCAATGCATTGGTACCTACTTGGAGGAAATGATCGACTGCATGTGTCTGAGTCCACTGTTAGGGTCCGTTTGACAAACTGTGAAACTTATGCACCTCCCAACATTTGTTGTCAGACAACTAGCTTTTAATCAGAAGTCTGCGGTACAGTGGGAACTTCAGAAAAAAGCAACCGGAAGATGATGGTTTTAAACTGGAAAAGCCCTGGTTTTCTTCAAATACCACCTTAAAAAGCAAGGAGTGCAACTGTTGTCTGAAAAAAACCCCTGGATTTCTACCTAAAAGAGTGGATAAATGCAACACACGCATATGTAAGCAAAATGATATTTTTTTGTTCTTCAAGGTTTTATTTTCTCTTCTTTTTTTTTTTCTTTTTTCCCTGCCAGTGCCAGAGGGGTGGGTGTTTGGTGGTGCTGCCCTCGTACAACAGTGATTATTAGTTATCATGCTGCATCTAGCGAACTAATTGAAAATGATATAGCTGGTGCTGTACTACTGTGTTGCCCAATACTTATTGATCCTTTGTTCAAGGATTCATGTGCTATATGCTTAATGAACATGTCCTTCCAAGTAGGGGTGACTCAATCCAAGCCGAACTTGAATTGAGTCAATTCGAACTCTAGTTTTTTTATTTGTGTGTGTTAATCAAACAAGACTAATGAGCTTTTGAGTCAAACTTTTTATTTAGTTGAGCTCGAGTTTGAATAAATAATCGAACTTACCTTAAGATTCGAACTCAATTAGAATCAAATTTGAACCCAAACTATTCAATTAAAGATTGATTTGATTATAGTCTTACTTTCAAGTCTAACATGAAAAGAATTACATCATATCTAATATCCTCCAATTATGCACAGGTGAGTGTGCATCAGAGGTTAGATAAAGCGGACTATTAAGGTTCAGTTTGGAAGGAATATAAATACAAATATGAATAGTACAAATACATACAAAATACATAGCTTTGCACTCTATATATTTGTATTTGTACTCCTTCCAAACTGAGCCTAAAGAGCATTAATACACCCTTCAGGGAGGAAGAAGCAACTTCTCATTGTTGGAAATTTTGCTCTTTTGAGGCAGAAACTGAGGCTTCTAATATTCGCTTGCTTAAAAGTAAAAGTTCCTTGCACATTTAGGGAGGGCAATTTCAACCACATCCTGAATTGATTTTGAGCAGGTTTTCCTTGATGTTCTAAAGCGATTCTTTAAATTTAAGCCATCCACGTGGCTTTGCATCTTCACGAATGGTAGAAAAACATCTAATAAAAATGCCTTCCACCATCATTATATATCTGTATTCTGTTGAATTTATATTCTAGATCTACAGCTCGAAGAGGAACCGATTAATTGCATCCAATGCAACTAATTAGTAAATCATGTGATGTTTGGTAGTCATTCTCTAATACCAAATTTTCTCAATTTGATGTCCGAGCTTACTCCATCAAGATTTAATGAAGCGAATACAAGGGGATCATGAGAGCTAATTACTTTTGCTCTTCAAATTATTTGTTCATATTTGGTGTTTGGGTCCAAACATGCATTTATATATTTTGGATTAAATATTCAAAAAGAATCCTACAGCGAATCCCATCTCATCTGCTACCCCAGAAAAGGGAAAAGCAGAACTCACAATCAGATGCATCCATCTCACTGAGGTTGGGCAGGCTCCAAATCCCATTTTGTGCATTGACGTCGGAGAGTTTTCATTCCATTTCAAACCTTAATACCCAAGATAAAAAAAAGTATCCTGTCAAGTATCCCCCAATCCCCTCCTCACTTTTTCCCCCAAAAAATAAGCTATAAGAAAAGAATGGATTCTTCTACAGAGATGAGTCTCGCATAATTCATTATGTAATTGAGAAGAGAGGGTTGAACTACAAAGGAAAGCTAAAGAAGCATATTAGACTGAAATGTACGAGCTACATAATTTATTAATTTAAGAATTGGCTCAGAGATGTTTGTTAGGTCTGCTGTTGGTGCTGATAATAATGATAAGCGTGATGTTGATACGACACGGTACTGCTACTCTCACCCAAGTACTTATCGTGTCCATATTCATCGTCTATCTCCTCCTTGGCCACCTTCTCCATGCCCATCATTCCCAATGGCCTGTGAGATGATAAAAGCTGCGGTCCTGAGTTATACCCAGATGAGGATGGGGACGGTGTGGGCACAACGGACGGTAGCTTTGAGAGAAGTGCTTCAAGGCTGCTCATTGATGGAATAATCTTTACTGGCTGGCCGAACTGATTGTAGAATTCGGTGGTCGTCGTCGTTGTCATTGCTGGGGAAGCCAGCGTTGCATGGAAAGACAAACCATCGGGTGCACCGTCAACTTTGAAGGGGAATGGTGAAGATGATGGGTGTGGCAAGAGAACACCAGGAATGCTCTCCAGATAACTGAACTTTTTTCGCAGTAAGACGACATAGCTTAAGTCTTCCATCACCTTGAGTGCCACGAGTGAGAACAGAAGTGAGACTGTTAGCTAGGAGGAACACAGTAGTGCTTTAAAACTTTAAGCTAGCGAGTCTTGCTTACCGCACATGATTAACACTGAGTGCATCTGTTTGTGTGCATGTTTATGGAGAGAGAGAGAGAGAGAGAGAGAGAGAGAGAGAACCTTGTGAAGAGCTCCTAATTGAACTACACCTTCTCTAACTGCAATCAAAGCGATGGTCTGGAAGATACATGAAGAAGCAAATTAGAGGAAAAAATCTCTCAATTCTTAGGAGCCTGTAGCTATAGAGCGACAAAAGGAGGGAGTGATGTTTGTAATATGAAGTACCTTAATACCAGACTGGAACTGAGCTTCCCATGTCCTTGGATGCTGAAAATTAAAAAAAAAAAAGATCAGCATAAAAGACAGGCCAGCTGAGAGATTTCTCCAAACGAAATACAGATCCAAATCATGTGGGTATGCGTGAACTATGAAATATATTTTGTCAAGAATGATCAGAAATATCGATTACATACTGAATCTCCTGGGTTATTCCATGCAGACAAGAAGTTGATTTCTTGATCACTTGGTTCCTTAAATACCCATTTATGACTGTGATCTGCCGCCACTTTTCCAATCAAACTGCCCACCCAAAAATGAAAAAAAGAAATATTCGACCACATTAGATCATCACTTCGAGAGCAACTGAATCTTATCTACACAAGACATAGTGGCTCTTACTTACCCTTCTCCATAATTATATATTTCATGGGACATCTTGAAGAAAAGCTCTGGTTGCAGGCCTTTAAAGTGTGAGAATTCGCAATTTCCATACACCGATGAACCTGGGCAATCGCCGGAATCGATTTCGGCCATTGAAGCAGCAAAGTTGCAGAAGCCATCTTCCCATACCAATATCCTACCATACGCGAAGAGCGATCATGGTGCAATATGGCTAAATAGTACATACAAAAACTATGATCCAGGGAGTATCGTAAAACTAAAATAATACCAGTTCCTCCTGTTTCCTCTTGACCTATCAAAGGCTCCTCCTTGAATATCCCATCTGTTAGAAGTAAATAAGTTGACATTAGATCACTAAAGAAAAAAAAAGGACATTGTCATTCATCTACGCATAAATAAGTAGTTTTCCCTTTACTAAATGATCTATTGGGATTTTTTTTCTATTTCGATTTTTTTTTTTTTTTTTGCTTTTATCCTCACTTGGGCGGTGGGTAGTTTCTAGGCAAGATCCTCCAGAAAACAGCATAGACCCATTGAGAGTTTTCATGGATACACAGGCTCCTCAAGGTGTATTGAAGGAGATGAGTAACAGCTAATGGATTGAGATTTTCCTCCATAACCTTCGAAACTGGAACTGACTCTCTTTCTTCTCTCTCTTGCTCTCTCGCGATGGGATGGAAAAACCCAAAATCCTATCCTTCCATGGAAAGGCCAATCCACAAGAACAGCTCACATTTATACTCCTCCCCAAATCTCCCTCTCTGAAGCAGTATTTAATCATTCTTTAAAATTTACCAATATGATCTGATAAGACCAACCATTTCTTCCCGGTTCCCATTTCCCAACGGTCTCTTTTTCAATCACCAACCATTCAGAAACTGTTCATCTGCTTTTCTTTTCTTTTTTTTCATTTCCTAATCCCAATTATTAATTATCAGTAAGACTTAGCCTCCTTTTAATGCAATGTTGCACCATTCTCACTCCTCAGTTTCCTGAAAACCCATCTTTCTCTCTCTCTCTCTAACCTCAATGCCTTGTTTCCTTTGACTCACCTGACACATGTAACGTATATTTACTTATTCCATCCCAGGAAAACTTCCATTTTCATTTATCCATCCTAAGAGTTGGTTGAATGTTATTTACCATGCACATGGCCAAAATCATTTCCATTTCCATTTGGTCAAATGGAGCAGTATGATGAAGTGTGGACTCTTCCAATCCTGTATTCCTGATCGACCAATATAATTCATCCTTCTGATTGTTCGACCAGTATAATTTGCATTTGCATGGTGTGGTCCAGGAGTAGTGCAGTTGATTGACTAATTGTGGAGGTCCTAATCGGCCATATTTCTTAGCTTCAATGTTTAATTTTAACTGTGTCAATGAGGAAAAATTTGCCTAGCATGCTGATACAAAGATGCTACAGAACAGAACTTGTCATATTCCCATTGCCTTATCCCTTACCTCACTTCCAACTGCCACCAATGATGCCAAGGAGAAAATTAATCCATGCTCAAGACTACTGAGGGAGAAAAGGCTTGTTGAGCACAATAAACACATGCATATGATCCTATCTATCTGAATCAAGGTGCCTGTTTCTGGGGACCCATTTATATTGCGAAATACATTTCTTTTCATGACCCCCGCCCCCCCCCAAAAAAAAAACATTGAAAGATGAGTTTGACAGCCCAGAACCGAGAAGCTCTGCTGATGAGATGGGTTGCTGTAATTTTGGGGTATGGCCTACCAATGTTTGCCGCATCGATTAGACGACTGAGAAGAGGAAAAAGTGGGTAATATAGGCCAATGAAATGTAGAAACTGAACGAGGCTTAAAATTTAAAATAATACTAACTAGCTGTATTATAATATATATTATCATTCTTCATGCTCCTTCAAATTTTCTCATGGCTGCGTCTGCGTGCTTGCACAGTTCACAAAAACCACGTAGCAAAACAGATGAATACATACAAATATACACGATATTATGAGGAAGAGAAGACAATTTATCAGAGTGTACTTCTACTTGTATAGTTCAGTGAGTAGAAAGTTGAGTAGAATGGGTCCTCTCAGATTCTGGAAAATTTGGCAGATCTCTCTCTCTCTCCATGATGACCAAAGGGAGCTTTCAGAAGGCTTGTGACGTAGCTTTCATTCCTCCTCCTGACACCCAGAAAGCTTACCAGAACCAGACCACTACACTCACTCTTTGACCGTCCAATAACAAAGAACAAAAAAAATTGAATATTCCAAGTAAAAAATATATACGTGGGAAGAGAGACCAGTAACCATCAACTTGAATTTACCGTTTTATCCAGCCTCTATCCTCATCTCTTCCCTTGATATATTGCTGTCTTCTTTGGAGAGAGATTTTAATATGTTTTCGTTGTAATAATTTGTATGAATATGTACGAACCCGTAGCAGAATAAAATAGTAGTGCTGGGCGACAGAGTCTGATGTAGTGATGTAGGGAAAAGAGGGGGTTTTGGGGTGCATGACGTTTGGATTTTATTGAATCTGGTGATTGTGATAATGGTGGGAATGGTGTATATATAGTTTTGCTATATATTTCATATCTGTTGTTATTATTTAACAATATAATTGTAGCAATTTAATATGTGAAAGAAACATAACTGTAGCAAACAATTCAACAATATAATATATTATCATTCTTCATGCACATGGAAGTTTCTGCTCGTACCACCCTTCCAATGAAATATAAATAAAATTCAGACTTACAGGTTTCACAAACAAGCAAAATGGAACTAATGACGAAAAGTATGGTAACAGAGCAGTCTGTCTGTCTTCATAAAAAAAAAAAAAAAAATGCTAGATGAAGATAGACAAGAGAGAACCTCCTTTCTTTTGTTATATTCCTGCATGATATGATTATTTTCTCATGAGATGAGTAGGTCAAAAGCTATGAATGTTTGGTTTAGGTCCTTGAGGATCCATGTATATATAAAAAAAGATTGAAAACTGAAAAGGTGGGCTATTAGGGTTTGGCTATATAGGTAGGAAAACCAAAAATTCTTTTGGGGGGGGGGGGGAATGAATTTGAGTGATTGTTCTCTAACACTTTCCAAAACCTAGAACAGTAAAAGTTAACCTTCTTTTACTTCTGCATGCATGCATTCACATTGACCGACCAACTCACTCTTTTCTCTTTTGATTAGTGCACCAAAAACGAATAATCCATTCATCAGTCTTTCAGTCCAAGCGTCATCATGAATTTCATTAAATGATCACAGGGTATTCCGTAATTCCGTTTGTTAAAATTGTTCCACCAAGGAGACCAACATAACTGCCTTTATTTCAACATAAAGTGGAATTAGATGGAAACGTTTTAGTGATATTTTTATCCCTTTCACGGAGAAAAAGATGAAAACTTTTTTTTTTTTTTGGTTGGTTCCATATATACATCAAAACTAATTAAAGGAGGATGACTAGCTTGAACAGTCATTCACGCTTCCCAATAATAATTGTACATGTAGCAGGGTTTTAAAAGGAAGCCGTATGTCAAAATTACTGCCCTGATCACTAAATTAATTTAAAGAATAAAAAGTAGAAAGAAGAATTTATGAAACAAACGACCATCACCGAAAAAAATTTGATGGAAACAAATAAAAGACTACAAATATAGGACAAATTCTCAAAAAGCAAAGTGAAAGTAAAACTGAGTCTGTTGACTTCAACGCATTGCGATTCTTTTCCTTGGACGATTGCAAGCACCAAAGTTACAGAGGAGAGGAGAAAGATGAGATTAGAATCACATAAGAGAGGGAAGAGGGGGCTCTCTCTCTCTCTCTCCCCCCTTGGCTGTCTACCTTTATTAGTAAGAGTAACCTTAGTGGAAGACCTGTTATGAAAGGATCTAGATGCCATGAATCTAACCTTCCACTTGCAAATGTAGGGAAGGATTTAGAGGGGAGAAAAATGAAGAGAATTACAAGGTACAACTGCAAATGCCCAACAGCACATCAGAGAGAGAGAGAGATTATATATATAAATTAGAAAATAGGAAGAAAAGGTGGCAAAAAGTTGGGGCGGGAATTTTAATTTTAAGTGAAGTATGTCAATGCTTCAAGACACTGCCAATACCAACTTCCACCACTGGGAAAAACTCCACATTATCACGTGAAGACTTTGGTGGTCACAATCTTGGCCTAGAAAAGCTTATGTACCCTCCAACCAAAGAAAAGATTGTCACTTCTTCCCTACTTTTCTTTGCATGCAGTAAAACAAGGCATTCTTTGGGAGAGCTCACGGTAAATAAAGACTCTCTCTCTCTCTCTCTATATATATATATATATAAAAGCTTTAATTTCCTTCAAAAGTAGGCATAACCCATTATCTACCAACAAAGATTGCAGCTGCCCCATCAACCCACACCATCCAATTTGATGATCATAAACATCGATCGATCTGCTTAAAAGCTTCCATTTAGGTTGGTCAAAAGTAAAGTTTACCCATTGTGCATCTGTGCTAATTAATGACAGTCAAACAGAAAGTGATCATGGATCAGACAATTGAAGCTCAGCGACAAAACGTGGTGAATCCTGAATCCATCCACATTTTGGATCAGGGTCCTACCTACTCATATCCTTATACCTTGAAGTAGAGCTAGATTGATCTCTCCTCTCCTGTGTATCTTTCTTATTACCATATTCGCTAGCTCAAGCTTTTCAATATGGGTTTAATTTCAGATGTCACTGTTGCCTTTGCTCATCACCGTTTGTTTAATTAACAGGTCTCCTCTTTTGGCCTCATGTAATTCCAGTCCAAATAAAGTTGTGGTTGTAATGCAATTCTTAAACAAATGGTTGCAGGGGTTTGGTTACACCACAGTCAAAGCTAAGTCTTCCTCATGCTTGGGTCAAATTGCAATTGCATTTTATCAGACTGGACCTTCTAGTGGGTTACCAGCTGGGTACAGATCTCAGTCCGATTTGACGTGGTGCAGTTTCATTTTAATCTAAAACGAACCAAAAAAAGATTTACAAACTCTTATAAGAATACAGCTCCACTTTTCTAGCTACTACCAGGATTCTTTTCATACTAGTATAGTATATTCTTCTGAGAAGCACTCAAAATGAGGAGCATGTCATAATAGTAAGCAGCTAGCACTATTTGACTTGGAAATAAAGCCAACCGATCGACAGGTAAACATAAAGGGAGGTAATGACACACTGTGTTGAGCTGACACTAGCTAGTAAAATATATGGTCGTCCATGAAACAAGTCTCCTCCTGCTGCAGGCTCAATTGAGAGGAGAGAGTGATCTGGATCTGGAGGGATGAGTATCAAATTTAGAGTTTTGCTTATTAATTATAATTAGTCCCACAATACAGGGCTCTTGGAAATGGTCCGATTGTGATAACACATCGTACGTACACAGCACCATGCAGAGGAGCTAGCCTCTTAATAATTTGTCCTTATTAGTTAGGACTTAGGAGGATAAATTAGACTAAACATTACGCATTAAACACAGTATATGATCGGACTAGAAATGATGATGAGGTTGTGGGCTTTTCGATGATGTTATCTTTTCTGCACCAGAGTCTGAAAGTGACTTGCAATGATAGAGAGATGGAATGGGCATCTAAGCTCTGTGAGATGTAGGGCCAAGCAGAGTGAGATATGTGCAGGGGAAGGCTGCTACTGCTAGGACAGCGACATGTGATCCCCACAAAGGCTTACAACTTTCCCCAGCGTTGCAAGTTTTCATTTTCGTCCAAGTGATGAATTGCACAACATCAATTATATTAATTGCTGCATCCTCCTCAATGGACACTTCAAACTAGTACTAAAGATATATATATATATATATATATATATATATATATATATATATAGTAGTGTATATGTATATGCATTATATATATCTCTATGGTTTGGTTTCTACTATGTCATCTCATGTCACA